AGTGAATGGCACGTAGTGCACTATATAGTGGACAGGGAACGATTCAAACAGTGTAAATATGCTTTCCATTGAGGAAAAAAATAAGTCTGGTTTCGCGCTGTGTCAAGCTAACCACCGCACCGCACACACACTCTGCTCCGGTCCAGAGACAGGATAGCATGGAGCGGATCACATGCGCGAGTCGGCGCAGACCACAAAATGTATCGGAGCTATTTGAATTCTACACAGAATGCTATATTTTATAGCAATATGGATGAGATTGTGGCTGGCATACCCTGTCAAATGCGGCTTTACGGAGCTCAACAGCTCTAGCCCAAGCTGTGATATAAACGAACGCTATTGGCTATTTTAAAAAGGGGCAGGGCTGCTTGATATGTCCCGCCCTGTCTTCCTGTTTCAGTTAAAATGACGTCAACACATAGAGTAACGCTGCATGTTTCTAAGCATTTCAGGGGACCTTTAAAAATAAAGGTTCTATTGGTATCTGTGGTTCCATGAAGAACTTTTAGCATCCATGGAACCTTTCCATTCCACAAACCACTTCAGTAAAAAATGGTTCTTTAAAGAACTTTTTACTGAACGGTTCTTTGGGGAAACAAAAATGGTTCTTCTTTGGCATTGCTGTGAAAACCCCTTGTGGAACCTTTATTTTTAAGAGTGTATGGTACTAAACAATTGATGTTTGCATTGTCGTTTCATTTATTGTGTAGCTAACGGTCAATGAAGCATCCGCTCAGCTGTGCATGAAAGATCTATCGCTGCTGACCCGAAGAGATGAACTTTTCTCACTGGCCAGGCAGATTTCACGCGAAGTTACCTACAAATACACCCGCAGGAGCAGCAGGTAAGACACAATTCTTCTCAATGTTTGATTCTATAGAAAAACAGTTGTTAAAATCATGTATTAACACTTTCCTCTGTTGACATATTGAGGAATAGCTTGCTTTTGTATAAATAGTGGCCGGGAATATTGGGTGAGGGAACTTCTTGTTCTAAAGAGCATTCGTTTTTTGGACATACGACCTTGCAATCAAGATTTTTTGTTCAATATCCTGTTAGAACTTTTTAAAATTAACTTTATGGAGTACATTAGCATTTGCAAACATAATAATACCAGACATACATTCATGAAATTGTTACAAAGAATTGATTTTGGTTTTTAGACACTTTTCTTGGTCTCTATTTAGTCATATAAGGAGCATCTGTTTGTACAGTAAATGCCATCTTTTTAGTACTTTCACTAGTTTTTGTTATTTAATTGAAAAGTTTTACCACAATGACTGTTTATGGTGTTTCAAAATAAGTATAAAACTCAAAATATCTTCATTTCAGGTCCCACTGTGGTGATGAAGATGAACCATCTACCAAGAGGATCAAATCTGAAGTAAGTTTAAACAAGTTCTGTAGATTCAGCTCATATTCATAAACCTCACGGTGACAGATTGCTCTATTTGCATGAGACGCCTCAGCTTTGCAATCATTTCGAGCTCCAGGTGGTTTCTCGGGACTTCTTTATTAGTTTTGCTTTCTTGTAATGATATTTATTGCCAGCTGCCTTCCCATTGCGTCTGAATTAGCGCTGTGTTTGTGTGTGCACTCTCTCTGTTAATAATCTCAGGAGAGTAATTACTGTCATTATTCACTCCGAAATGTCGCGTTCATACAGCTTTTCCCATGAGCGACGGTCTTCGCCTCTGGGTGAACATCTCAAAGTAAATGATATCGTTGTTTTCGTAGCTCCGTGGGGCCTCTAAGTCAACAAAACCGTTGCAAACAAAGCTCTCAAGATGTTAAATTAAAACTGTGATAAATTTTAGCTCGCTTTTAAAAGCTTGTTTTTAACGGAAGTTGTTTTTGTGGGGTTCTCTGGATAAAGAAAAGCTTAGTTAGTACACAAACGTGCAATCATTCATCCGCACAGGCGGAGAAGTACACAGTGGACTGAAACACATAATTGACATCATCCTGTGGGTGCCTACTGAATTACCCACACATGGCTGTAGCTGTCTCTGTCTGAGTCGAACGTCATACGTGGACACACAAGCTCACTCACACACACACATATACGTGATGACCTCAGAGGAAAATGCGGAGGTTGTCAAGGGGCGACACGAAGTGTAAATTCGTTCAAAGGTGACAACGGCCGATCTGTTAGAATAACAAAAAAAATACTGGTTAGAAACAAGCAGGAACATTGCCATGGCAGAGAAAGATTGTTGATGATAAAAGTGTTTTTAAGTCCTTGTAAGTTTTTTTTTTACCACTATAAAAAAGGATAAAATAATATTTGTGCATTTAAGAACTCAAAAAAATAGCTAAAAGTATTCTAATATAAAGAAAAAAATGCAAAAAAATTTAAGCTTTACTATACTGTACTTTTGAGGTCAGTGTGTTTTATGGTTTTAAAATGGTTTTATGAACAATTGACCAATTGTTCTTTAGGATTTTTTTGCGTATTTGTGTAATACTAAATTTTAATTAAAAAATAAAATGCCATATTCATTTAGCTTTACTGGATCTTTTATATTTGAGGGCAATGAGCTTTGTGGTTTTAAAAATGGGTTTATGAACAGTTCACATAAAAAATTGTTCTTTAGGATTTTATGCATCCAAAACTCAAAAAAGTAAATATTATTTTAATAATCAATTTTAATTTAAAAATAAAATACTATATTTACTTAGCGTTACTATTTCCTTTATATTTGAGGTCAGTGAGCTTTGCTTTTAAAATGGTTTTATGATCAATTTTCACACAAATTGTTTGTCAGGAGGATAAATACGTTTTTAAAAAAAATTTAAATGTAAAAATAAAATACTTCAGCTTTATTGTAACTCTTATATTTGAGCTGTATGTATTTATACGACACATTTTCTATACATTAAGAACTGTTTACCCAGAATCTGCTCTTTGCTTGCATAATTGCGCGTTTTTGGGTTCAGAGAGAGGACAGAAAATGGTCATGAACTAAATAATTAATATTTTTAGTGCAAAAACCTTCACTGACATTATAAGTAGAGTTTTGGGGTGGAAGAGTAAATGCTACAAAAGTGTAAAATATGATTATTTGGATGGTTCATCTCGCCAGCAGCATGACTTACCTCCTCAGGCACTGTGGACTACAGATGTGATGACTCAGTTCGTACTAACAGCTTTTTCCATTTGTGCAAATGTCATGGTTGCACCAGAGATGCAAATAAATGAAGCTATCGTGGAGATATAAAACTCACTCACTTCTGTCTCAGCTAATTTTATTGAAAGTTGTCCATGAGCTCATCCCTCATTTCACCTTTTCTTGCTTTCTCTTAGGATGGTGTCTACGATCTACAGGAGGCTCTTCACGTTCTTCATACGCGTCAGGAGACGGTGAGAGAGCAGCTCGCAATCGCCAAATCTAAAGGAGAGGAGACGATCAGACATAGTCTACAGGTATTTTGAGTCTATTAAGTTGATATCACTTATATGAGTCTATTAAGTTGATATCACAGTCAAAACGTATGTTTGTTTGTCTGAAGGTTAGTTTCAACATAGTTTGAACTTTTTTTTTTTCAGAAGAATATTGTTTTAATGTTGCTTCAAAAACTGTTGAAACTTTATTTCAAACTTGTTTGGACTTCATTTTAATGGTTTTTAAACAATGTAATGTTTGTTTCAGCATTGCTTGAACTATATTTGGAAACAATGTATGTTTGAATGTTTTAAAGGGGTCATATGATGCTTTTTTAAAGATCAT